TATGAAACTTGGTAGACATGTTTCATAAAGATATCTCAATTTTTACTCAAGTTAGAGCTTGCACGGACGGACGGACGGACAGACGGACGGACGGACAGACAGTCACCCGGATTTCAACTCGTCTCTTCATCCTGATCATTTATATATATATAACCCTATATCTAACTCGATTAATTTTAGGTGATACAAACAACCGTTAGGTGAACAAAACTATTATACTCTGTAGCAACAGGTTGCGAGAGTATAAAAAGAAGGAAACTATTCAATGTCAAAAAACTCCAAATTCAAAAAAATTTATAAGATGCAAGTAAGGAGAAAACTGAAATTTCTAAATTAAATAATGAACAAAAATGAAATATATGTTTAAATTATGATAAGACACACATAGCTGAATTAATAATGTACTAAAATGTAATATATACCCAAATTACGAGGAGATATATAAGTATAAGTTATTTAAATATTGAACAAAATCTAATACATCTGAATTATAAACAAAAGGGTATAAATACCCACAAACGCTACGAGTACGAGACCCTCACTTTCCACATTCCACAATTGTAGTACGAGTACGAGTACAATTACAAATACTCCTATCATCATTCGCAAATCTCGACTCAGTACTTCGTAACAACGGACCCAAACCAACTTTTATTAAAGGCAGGGCGTCGTCTTATATTGACCCCACCTATGTAAGATCAACGATAGTTTCACAGACATCATGGCAAGTCTCCAAAATATATACTCATAGTGCCCACCAGGCCATAACGTTTGATATAAATCAGCGACATAGGCAAAATCATAAAAAACAAGTAAGGAAGGGCTAAGTTCGGATGTAACCGAACATTTTATACTCTCGCAAAGTCAAATAGTATACTCGTTTGAGATTTCTTTGTGGATTGGCTGATATTTTCGGTAGAAGGTCAACTATAGGCACTGGGGTCCACATATTTAGTACTTAGGGGCTTAAACAGTTTTGGTTCGATTTAGACAATTTTTGGCCACAAGGTGGCATACTTTAATCGCATTATTCACGCAAAGTTTTATCCCGATACAGTCATTGTTGCCTGATTTGCATAGTGGAAAGTGAAATAATCAGATGGAATTTAAAATGGTGTTATATGGAAAGTAGGCGTGGTTGTAGTCCGATTTCGCCCATTTTTGCACTGTGACATAGAAACATGAAAAGAACGTTATGAACCGAATTTGGTTGAAATCAGTTAAGCAGATCTCAAGATATGGGTTTCACTAAAAGTGGGCTGTGCACGCCCACTGTCTAATTTGAACGCGGTTCCTATAAAGTCATCTCATACCATCCCAGAGATAAATTAATGACTCTGGCGTGTTTAGTGCTTGATTTATCGCGCTTTTAGTAGTTTTTAACAGTACCGTTATATGGGAGTGGGCGGAGTTGCCACCCGATTTCAACTATTTTCACACCGTCAATAGAAGTGCTAAAATATTTGCTTCCAGTGAATTTTGTTATTATAGCATTAGCGGTTTAGGAGATATGCACATTAAACCTATTGAGGCGGGACCACGCCCACTTTTTAAAAAAATTTAACTGCAGATGCCCTCCTTAATGTGATCCTGTGTACCAAATAACAGTCTTGTATCTTATTGCGGAGCTTAGTTTGTGCAAGTTATTTGTTTTTGATTAATGGCGTTTTGTGGGCGTGGCAGTGGTCCGATTACGCCCATCTGCAATACCAACTGTCTCACGGTACCATGAAACATGTCTACCAAGTTTCATAAAGATATCTCAATTTTTACTCAAGTTAGAGCTTGCACGGACGGACGGACAGACGGACAGACGGACGGACAGACGGACGGACGGACAGACAGTCACCCGGATTTCAACTCGTCTCTTCATCCTGATCATTTATATATAACCCTATATCTAACTCGATTAGTTTTAGGTGATACAAACAACCGTTAGGTGAACAAAACTATTATACTCTGTAGCAACATGTTGCGAGAGTATAAAAAGGAAGACACAAGCTTGCGACCTAGAAATGCTTGAATAGCCATTGGGCAAATCAATGAAGATACACAAGGTTATGCATATAGCCAAACGAAGAACATAACGAAATCACTTACAATGTTCTGCAATGCCACAATGCCAATAAGGAAGAACAGGGTGAACAAAGCACCCTTGTACTGGTGGGCCGAAGAAATCGCTCACTAGAGAAAGACGCGACTTTGAGGAACTCCTTGCCAACTTCCGGAAAAAGCGGAAAGAGCTACATAAAGCAATAATGAAGAGTAAGAAAAACACTTTTAACCTGCTCCTTTCAGAGGTAGAAAATAACCCTTGGGGAAAAGCTTATCAGATAGTGATGAAGAAACTGGGAAGATCAAGAAGACCCCTATATTTCCCATCATCTTGCGCGAGCTAGTTAGTGCCCTGTTTCCAAGATGTGAACCCTCGCGAGTACCAGTTTTTCGAATAAAAAAGGATGAAATCACGCAGGTGTCCCATGAGGAACTGAAATATGCTGTGGCAAGAATAATGATCGGAAAACCACCTTGCCTGAACGGAATACCCAATTTCGTTATCAAGCACGTCACAACAAGAAAACCCGAACAGTTTCGTCAAGCGTATATAAGTTGTTTGAGGGAAGAGAGTTTTCCCCAAGACTGGAAGCGGCACGGCTCGTTCTTCTCCCAAAAGGTGACAAAACCTCTGGAAGAACCGGAAACGGCTTGACAAATACACTGAAGGAGACTATGGATTGGACCGAATGCAGTTTGGTTTCTGGAAAGGACGAAGCACCGTGGATGCCATAGACACCGTCATTACCTTCAAAATAAAGAACGCCTTCAACTCGGCCAAATTGACGCTAAATATAAGGGCCCTGAAAGATCCCGAAACATACAAAGTTACTGGCGGTGTGCCACAGGGGTCATTTCTTGGTCCTGTATTGTGGAACATAATGTATGACGGAGTTCTAAGAGTAGCGGTGCCGGATACAGTAAAAATAGTAGGATACGCAGACGATATCGTGGTCGTAGCGAAACCCCTAAATGAAGCGAGGAATAATTGCAATGAAGCCATAAGCCACGTTAAAAACTGGCTAGAGACCGTCGGCTTAGAACTAGCAACACACAAAACTGAGGTGGTGCTAATGAGTAGTGGAAAGAAAGTTGAAAGTAGTACAATCAGTGACTATAAACTTAAAACAGTTACCTTTGGCATCAACTGCGCAGCATATTTAGCCATTAGGACATTGCATGAATGGACAAAAGCCGGTGAAACGAATTTGCCTTTAGCAACTTCTGCGCTACATCACAAACATATGTGGACGATATTCTTTCAGCTAGCCACAGTCTCTATTAGCGTGAGAATCATTATCTCAAGTGATCAAATCACTAAATTCAGCCGGGTTCGTCCTAAAAAAAATTACATAAAATCATACCGAGATTATAAGAAACATAAAAAGGGAAGGCCAGTACAAATAAAATTCTAGGGCTTAAATGAAATGCGATAACAGATCAATTCTCATATAAAATTGAGTCAAAACCTGCAAACGCCAAATACTTTCCTCGGTGGCAAAACACTTCGACCCCGCAGGAGGGATTTTGCTCAATCGAAAATTGTGGCAAGATGGCACTGAATGGGGAAAGCAAGTAAAACCCATACGTTTAGAGAATATCAGAAATTCGAATTCCTCGATGGGTAAATTTCGCTTCTAATCATAATGTAGGTTTTCATGGCTTCTGTGATTCCTATAAAAAAGTCTATTGTGCAACAATTTGTGTACGCAGTAACGATAACAAAATTACGTCACAACTTTGGTAGCAAAAGCCAAATTAGGAGATTTGAAGACACTAAGCCTGCTCGGATCGAACTGAATGGTACACTTCTGTTAGCAAAACTAGTTTCAATTGTCCAAAACCATCTCAAATTAACCAATCACTAAATGTAATTTTTGCAGCAATAGTCTTAGTATGTTTAGAAAAACCACCCTATACCTGGAAGACTATGTAGTATCTAACCGCATATCTCAAGTATTAGACTTGGTTTGCCCAGCATAATGGCAACATGTTGCAAGTGCACTACACTCTGGTGGTTCGGTCCTTCGTGGCTAACGGGATCACAAGAATTCTGGTAAAAACTCTCGCTCGCAATATAATAGCTCCTGAAAGTCGGAAAATTTAAACTTTTCATATTAATCTAGATGGGAATGATATATTACACCGATTTTCATCTTTCAGTAAGAGTATTCGCTTACATGTTTAAATTACTCACACAACAAACAAACAATTAAATTAATAACAAATGATTCTTCCGCACAACTAACGCACGCCAACCTGCATCACGTCAAGGTCAGTCTTATCGCGTATGCACAAGCTTACTATTTCAGTCGGGAGAAATCAAAGTTATTCGAAAGACGACCTATCGAAAAGGGAAGCTCATTTCTCGTTTTAAATATATTCTTAAACACTAGGGGATCAATCCGGGCAAATGGAAGACTAGCAAACTCCAGCCTTAGTTACATCCGACGTGCCTTATTATTCCTAAAAATCGTAATTCCTTATTTTTAAATAATATAACTCCACCAACAGCATCCCTTGATGCAACAAATGGTTCGATTATATACCGCAACTAAAGCTACAAAACTTTGCACTTTGTACAAACACAAAAAACGTACGCAAATTATAGCAACTCTACTACCTGAACGCTGAAATTTTCTCTTCCCTTTCCCACTGGGACTGATTTTGCTGAACCTTTCCTGATAAAGGCTTAGAAAAAGATATGTGGCTGTGGCTGGTATGCTTTACGACAATGGCAGTACACCTGTTCGGATCTGACTACTCAGGCTTTTCTCGCAGCATTTAACTTTATCGAACGAAGCGGTTGGAAAAAATTTGTCGGAGCCCAAAAAGCCACTGAGAAGGAATTTGTAAAATTCATGAAACCAGTCTCCCCAGAAATTGTTAAAAATATGCACCCCAAGGGATAGATTGGCAGTTCATACCTCCAAGTTCTCCCACATGAGTGAATTCTGGTAATCAGAAAGCAGTACAAATTTAAGTCCCATTTAAAGAAAACGGAAGGTAATCTTAAATTAAATTATGAAGAGTTTACCTCACTGCTCGCTCGTATAGAAGCCGTAATAAATCCACGACCTATCCCACCACTCTTGCAAGTCCCTTTCTTCCCTCCGATTTTACAGTACTGACACCTGGTCATTTCCTCAGGGGAGCTCCACTTCTCACTGTACTTGAGGCTGAAGGAGACTCACTCACTTGAACAAACCGATGAGAAAAAATTAAGATATTTCATCATGAATTCAGCTATAGATCGATAGAAGATTACCTCAAAAGTCTCCATAAGGGACATCGGTGGAAATCGATCCAGCAGCAACCCAGTGCGGTAGAATGCTTGATCATACAGGACGAATGCCTTACTCCAAAGGAATTGCGACTCCCCCCAGACGAATGGCCCCATTCAAAAGTTCCAACGAAGATGGTCATATAAGAGTTGTCGATGTATGAACGTAAACCGGCATATTAACTCGACCACTTGTAAAACTGTGTTTTCTTCAAAACCCAGAAGAACTAATTTCACCAAAACCGAAATCAACCGCAAAATTTATTAAAAATTAATGCCATAAAAACACATAATTCGGAATACAGCCGTTTTCTAATCCATGTATGAAGATGTAAACCGAACAATCGCAGTTTTAATAATCAACCGAATTATGTATGTATATATATTTACAACTATCACAAGCCAAAAAATAGCATACTTAAAATTATGAGCCAAACCTAGTTTAACATAATTATTTTTTTCCATCCAAACGGACATAGAAGAAAGCTACAGCAGCAGCCAGGGTGACAGACGAAGAGCAACCATTTAAGGATCAGAGGCCCCCACGCTGCAGCCTGCGCCATCACTGCCAAGCCCTGAAGAAGTGCACAATTTTAAAGAGCATAAAGTCCGCTCAACGCCAGAAGATTGCAGACTGTCACCCGGATTTGAACTCGATCCGTCATCTTGATAATTTTTATATATAACTCCATATCTATCTGGATTAGTTTTAGGTGATACCGTTAAGTGAATAAAATTGTTATACTATGTAGCAACGTGTTGAGAGTATTAAAAGGGGCGTAGCAGGGCACGCCGGGTACAACCCGTATAGGTATAAAGTAAACAGCTGGAAGTATTATACACAGCCTATTGAACAAACAATGAATCTAATGTTTCGCTCTGAATGTAATGGAAAACAAAATATAAAAATAAGGATAAATAAGTGGATATATATAGTTCAATTTGGACCCTTCCTTCTTTCCTGTGTCCCTAATTTTGGTAGTACTGTTCATTCAAAACGCCTGTGAACATCAGCATGCATGATGAGAAGCAAGCATCCATTACAATTACGCACTTTTTGAGATTCTTAATTTTACCTTTTCCATTAGCTCGCGCACTATTCCGTTCCAAACTTTTGTGTCAGGGTTGAATACTCCATACATATTATCAGGTACTAATTCAATCTTATATTGAAATCCCACTTGAGTGGCAATGGCTTTTAGTAAATCGATACAAAATCCTTCAAAGCGATCATTTCCTGTTTGACTAATGTCGCTTTTCACCATAACGTAAGGTTTTTCTTGGCGCGTCATAACAATTAACGTTGTATTACTTGAATAAGTGTCATAGAAAGCGGTCGAATCGGTAATGTTAACACCGACTTCAGGGTTCCAAAAACCAACTTTTTCAACTTCCTCTCGCTTTAGTTTAAGTAAGTCGATTTGAAATATATTTCGACGTCCCTCAGCGAATTGTACGCGGCCTGTCAGTCCATCCATAGAAGCCTGTAATATAGTGTTATATGTTATATAAGAGCTCATGGAAAATTAAAGGGGTTTACCGAGTTAATATATTTATATAGTGACTGTCCATCTCTCCATGGCAATTCCTTTTTACAGGAAATATTATGCCAAGTTAATAAATCGCTCCTATCTAGCTCCATAAGACCAGCAGCAACGGAGTACACCGAATCGAACATTAAAGCTGATTGTACCTTTCGCAATGCATATAAATAGAAACAAAAATATTTAAAAATATATGTATGTATGTTAAATGCTTATGCAAAGAGACAAACTAAAGAATCGGAAAAATTATGCATCTAGAAAGAACATTTAAAACTCACTTAGTCTTATTACAATAATTAGTGTTAAAAACGTGACTAGCAATACTTAGTTTATTCATCATACATATCTACTAGTGCTGGCGTAAGGTAAAATATCTGAAATTTCTGTTATCAAACTCTTAATGAAGGTACCTATCGGAAGATTAATTCGTTCGTAATATCAAATAAAACCATGTAAATGTAACGTCCTCATTTTATTTATTTGAATTTTTTTCGATCGAAAAATTTGTAGATACGTTCGAAAAATATAAGATATAGTAAAAATAAGTCCATTATTTCTGCATCAAATTGAATGCTTCATTTAGCATAATTAGAATGATCCGATTTAGGTCAAATATATACGGTTTTCTTTTTGATGGCATGTTGCCATTTTGAAGGTAGTTTCATAATGCCAATCTCATGTAAACCCCCGTTCTTATCTTCAGGAAAAAATTGATTTTGTTGCAATGCAGCAGCGATACGCCTTATCTTAATAGTTTTAAACGGGGTTTAGTGCAATTTTTAGCTCCTGACCAATCAAAAGAAATCTATTGGAAAAACAAGTAAGAAAGTTCTAAGTTCTGGTGTAACCGAACATTTTTTTATACTCTCGCAACTTGCAAGGATCAAAGACCGGAAAATTACTTCAGGGGTTAACAAAATGTTATATTAAAAGAAATATTGATCCGATTCAACTCATTTTGGACACAAAAACTTTTCACTATCGAGAGTTCCATTTATTTATTTTATTATATGAATTTCAAATATTGGTTCGATTTAGACAATTTTTGGTTACAAGGTTCCATACTTTAAACGCATTTACCCCGATACAATCATAGTTGCTTGATTTGCATAGTGGAAAGTGAAAGAATCAGATGGAATTGGAAAAAATGGTATTATATACGTAGGAGTGGTTGTAATCCGATTTCGCCCATTTTCGAATTAAAACATAGGAATATAAGAAGAGTGTTATGTAGGGAACTTGGTTTAAATCGATCAACCAGATCCCGAGATATGTGATTTCACCTTAAAGTGGGCGGTGCCAGGCCCACTGTCTAATTTTGAGAGCGGTTCCTATAAAGTCATCTCATACCATCCCAGAGGTAAAATTTAATGTCTCTGGCGTGCTTAGTGCTTGATTTATCGCACTTTTGGTAGTCGATAGAAGTGCTTAAAACATTTGCTCTCAATGAATTTTGTTATCATAGCATTTGGGGTTTAGGAAATATGCATATTAAACGTATTAGAGGGCGCTAACACGCCCAGTTTTAAAAATAAATTTTAAACTGCAGATGCCCTTCCCTAATGTGAACTCATATACCAAATAAGTCGTGTATCTTATTGTCAAGCGTAGTTATGGAAATTTATTTGTTTTTGATCAATAGCGTTTTGTGGGCATTGCAGTGGTCCGATTACAATACCAACGGTCCTACGGTACCAAGTTTCATAAAGATAACTTAATTTTTACAAAAGTTACAGCTTACATAGACGGACGGACAGGCAGCACCCAGATTTCAACTCGTCTCTACATTCTAAGTTTCAAAAAGATATCTCAACTTTTACTCAAGTTACAGCGTGCACAGACGGACGGACAGACAGTCACACGGATTTCAACTCGTCCCTTCATCCTGATCATTCATATATGTACTTGCACAACCCTAACACCATAAATCTAACTCGATTAGTTTTGGGTGAAACAAACAACCGTGAGGTGAACAAAGCTATTATACTCTGTAGCAAGATGTTTCGATAGTATAATAATGGTTTTCGTTTTATAGACCTTTGAAATCATATCGAAGATAAAGTTTTCGATGAAATTGAACTTAATTACGCATCCGCCTGTGCAGGCTGTAACTTAAGTAAAAATTAAGATATCTTTATGAAACTTGGTACACACATTTCTTGATATCGTAAGAAGATTGGTAGTGTAGATGGGCATAATCAGACTACTGCCACGCCCACAAAACGCCATGAATCAAACACAAATACATTTACATAACGAAGTTCTACAATAAGATACAATACTGTTATTTGGTATACAGGATCACATTAGGAAGAGACATCTGCACATCTCCTAAACAGCTTAAGTTATAACAACAAAATTCACGGAAAACAAATGCTTTTAGTACCTCTATCGACAGTGTGAAAATGGGGGAAAGCGGGTGACAACCCCGCCCACTCCAAATATAATATAACTGTTAGAAACTACTAAAATAAATCAAGCACTAAACACGCCAGAGACATTCAATTTTATCTCAGGGATGGTATGAAATGACTTTATGGGAACCACGTTCAAAATTAGACAGTGGGCGTGGTACCGTCCACTTTGGGATACACACACTGGGATACTTGTGATCTGCTTTACCGATTTCGGTACATAACATTCTTCTTATATTTCTATGTTATAGTGCGCAATGGGCGAAATCGGACTACAACCATGCCTACTTCTTATATAACACAATATTAAACTCCATCTGATTCTTTCACTTTCAAGTATGCAAATCAAGCACCAATACTTGTGTCGGAGTAAAACTTTACGTCAATAATGCGTTAAAAGTATGCCACCTTATTAACAAAAATGGTCTAAATAGGACGAAAACTATTCAACCATATATTTAATATGTGGACCCCAGTTCGTACAGCGAACATTTGATCGAAAATATCGGTCATTCTGTTAGATATGTTTAAGTAATTCGAAGAGAATCCTTTACTGATAATAATATGCCTGTAGGTCAAAAATGGGTTGTATGGGTTCAATTATTCGGTTTTCGAAAATTCCAGCAAATAATTAAGATACCTTAGCAAAACTTACTGGAAGTATAATATTGAATATACTACAGTTTAATGCCGAAAATATGTGAAATTGGTTCACAAATTACCCAAACTATCATTTACTACACATATTGATTTTGTTGGTTCTAACAAACCGTATGCACCTGAAGGTATTTCCTTGGTTTTCATCCTGGCATGCAAGAGTATGAAATGCTCGGTTGCACCCGAACTTAGCCCGTCCTTACTTGTTACTAATAGATTTATCTTACTTAGCTCAAGGTGTATTTGATTACATTGAACACACTTATACTTGCTTATGTTTTCACTTCTAAGCAACAACACAGAGATGTCTTTTTGAGTATATTTCATAATCAGTGTCGCCACTTGAGAAAATCTCTGGGTACCAAAATGCCTACAAAATCTGTTGCAAAACTACCAAATTTTCATCAAAACATAAGGTTTTCAGATCACATTTGGAAAAAATATACTTACAAATAACTCTTAGAGGTCAATTAAACTTAGCTACATGCACACACTACCTTTTTATCAACCCATTCGGATATTTTTAACCAGTCACTACGAAGTTTTCATCTTGACGGTTAATCGTACATTCATCACTACAAAAGATTGTTAAGTTGTCAAGAACTATCTGAGCGGTCGCCAATCATCCGTACTGTTTCGAGGTTAAAATTTTAAGTTAAAAAGAAGTAAGCGAGGGGTTATGCAGGGTTCTGTCCTCTCCCCGCTACTGTTTAACTTCTGTATTTCAAAACTCGCTCAACCACCAGAGGGGAATTTCTATAATTTCCTATGCAGATCGTACAGTCGATTGACGTCAGGCAATGGAATTGATGGCATATGTTCGAAATTAAACAACTGTCTTACTGATCTTTCTCGCTTTTTCTTTGCAAGGAACCTGACACTCTGACCTACTAAATCCACAGCGATCACATTATTGAACAGGACGAAGGAGTACAGCCTGGATCTTAGCATTATTTTCAGTCGGTAGCCAGCAGCTCCTAGGGAAGAAAGAAACGTTGTTGTTAATATACGAGCTATCGGATAGCTGGTCATCACCTACGCTGCGTCCATATGGTCGCCTGGATGTAGTGAAACGCAGACGAAGAAGCTTCAGACGTGTTAGAATACTGTTCTCTGTACAATTAAAGAATGCCACTTGATGTCTCCTGTCAAACCCCTACATAGCGAAGCCTGCATGCTTCTAGTCAAGTAACACAATGCACTTCACTCCAAGCAGTTTCTGCTGGGAAGAACAGCACGCCGACTAGACTACGAACGCAACAACCTTCAGACACTGACTGCCATTCACAGTGGAGCCATCAACATCTTCACCAACCCCTTCCCAGTGATTGGCGCACTGGGAGTCAAACCACCACCCATTGCAGGTGAAGAACTCGAGTTGCCTATCTATCTAATCTAGAGTTACCCTTGCGCAACTTCTTTCCGGATACTGTAGCAGGTAAGACACCTACTTTACCAGAAGCGACGCCGACATACCAAATGTATATCCTGCGTGCAACAAGTAACTTCATGACTTTAACCACCTCTTTGCATCCTCAATGAACCCCACTCAATTAACAGCACTCGCCTCAAAGTGCGACCCCTTCGAAACAGCACGTTTCCTGGACCACCATTAGATGATTTCGATGACAACTAACTTGAACCTTAACAGCTAAGCGGCTACTAGATAAGCGATACAACAACAACATTGTCAAGTTTTTAATTGATACATCGCAAAGTTTTAAATTTTCACCTGACGTCGCTATCATTTTGTTCGCTTACTGCTCAGGTTTTATGTACTTTATTATATTATATAACAAATTATCGACATTTTCCATTTATGTTAATTATAGTTAGATCTCTGATTTTCCACATATTGAGCAGATGGCTCCAATTCAAGACTATTTTTTTAGTTAATATGAATAACAAACAAGAAAGTATGCAATTTTAACCAAAGGTTTTACAATTTCCTTTCATTTTATTATTTATTAAATATTACTTACTAAGTAATAATACATAAGTTAGTCTTATAAGTAATATGTATGTCTTTGTATATAGGTATATAGTAAACCTGAATTTTTTCTCTAAAGTTAGGCT